GAGTAGGAAGGTGGAGAGGCTGCTGTCATGTAAAATATCGCCACTAGGAGGGAAGGACTGAGATGGCGTTGGCAGGGAGGGAGCTCCTGCAAGGAAACGGCATGAGGGTGTGAAGAGTTGAGGACCCAAAGGGCCAGTGTGGCTGGAGTTGGGTGAGTGAGCAAGAAATCAGAAGGGTGTGAGGTGAGAGAGGCGAGGCTCCTATCACAAGTGGCTTTCCGGGTTGTGAGGGCTTTAGCTTTATTCTGAGTTGACAAACGGAAATACTTAAAAGCTGGGTGACTGCGGCCAGTGTCTAATTGCCGATGGGCAGGATTTGGTAGAGGTGAGTGTGATGATGTAGGAGAGGATGGGGAGGATCATGGAGTGAGGTCCCTGAATTTGGGCCATAGGCAGTGAGACCTGGGCGCAAGTAGAGGCTGACCTTGGGTCAGCTGACAGCCACAAGGGGAGAGGAGGCGAGGGCACAAGTGCTGTGGGGTCTTGAGGAAAGACAGCAAGAGGGATCAGGGTCCATGACAAGAGCAAGGCTAGGGAGGAGCATAGCAGTCCAAGGAGAAAGAGAAGTGTGGAGGAGTGGGGGTGTCAGGAGATGAGGAGAGAAAAGGGCTAGGAAAGGAGTCGGGGAGGACAGATGGCCCTGGGTGCAGTGGAGATTGACGTGAGCGTGGAGCGAGACTGGGCAGGAGGTTTGATGTTTTCCTCTGGTCATGTTTGATGTTCGAGACAGGAAGAGCTGGATTGAAACCCAAGCTGTTTGGGGCAGAGATATGATGGCTCCAGGGAAGGGCAAGAGAGTTCAAAAGCAGGAAGCACAAGAGGGGGAGCCAAGGACTGGAGGGGCAACAAGCGGAAATTAGGTCATGTGTCCACCATGTCTCCTCCGCAGGCACGATGTGCATTGAAGGTGAGGGCGGTTGGCTAGAAGTGGAGTCCTCTATAGGATGCAGGAAGGAGATGGGGGCAGACTCACTGAGTGGGTGGCCCCAGTGTGATCTGAAAAGAAGCTTTATCCTAGAGAGCAGTTGCTGCCATCTCCTCTCAGCCATTCCTGGGCTCTGGCAACCCCTCATTGATTATTTTTGTCTCATTTCATATAAATGGAATCATAGTTTTTTTTTTTTTTTCTTGCGATGGACTTTCATTGCTCAGCATGTTCTCAGGGTTGATCTGTGCTGTAGCATGTTAACTGTTTTTTATGCATTTTGATTGTCAAATAATATGCCATCGAATGAGGGCATCCTGTTTTCTTTATCCTTTCTTCAGCTGATGGACTTTAGGGTTGTTTCCCCTTTTGGGCTCTCATGAGTGATGCTGCTATCAACATCCAAGTACAAGTTTTTGTGTGGACCAGACATCTTCATTTCTCTTGGATCTACGCCAAGAGCAGAAGTGTTGGGTCATGTGCATCTTTGTATTTAACACTCTGAGCGGTGGCCAGGCTGTCTGCCAAAGTGTCCGCACCATGTGACTTTCCCACCACAGCGTGCGAAACTTCCAGTTTCTCCATATCTTCAGCAACACTCTTTATTATCTGATTTATGGGGTGTGGCCATTCTGATGGGTGTGAGATATTGTCTCATAATGGTTTTGAATTGCATTTCTCTGATGGCCAATGCTGTGTGAGCATCTTTTCATTTGCTTGTTGGTCATTTGGATATCTTCCTTGGAGGATAAATCCATTGCTCATCTTTAAATTGGATTAATTGTCTTTTTTTCCTTATTGTGTGAGTTCTTTACATATTCTGGACACCAATTTCTTATAAGATAAATGATTTGCTAATATTTTTCTCCCAACCTGTGAATTGTCTTTTTAACTACGGTGGTGTCCTTTGAAACATATTGCTGTTATGATTTATTTAAAAAAATTTTAGGTTTTAAAGTTTTGAAAGACATTCTTGTAGGCAATGAAAACTCAGAAATTTTTGAGTAATACACACAAAGAAGGAATAAATGAAACATAATCTTACCATTCAGAGGTAAGTACTATGAACATTTGGGAGTCCATTATGCATTTTATAAGTCTCATCAGTTGTGAATATCTCTCCAGTTCAATATTTCTATAGAATCATTTCTTACGTTGCATAATCTTTAATAATGTGGGTGAACAGTTTGCCTAAATAGTTCCTTGTTGTTGGACACTTAGGTTGTTTCCAATTTTCACTCTTTTTAATGAAGTTAAATCTTTCTGAATATGCATGGTTAATTTCTTTGGATGGGTTGGAATAGAATTGCTGGGTCAGAGCATATACATTAAAAAAACTTTTTCTGAGGATAGTGCTGGGGATTGAATCCAGGGCCTTATGAATGCTAAATATGCTCTCCCCTCAGCTACATCTCCAGGACCCAATTGCACATTTTTAAGGCTATAGAAACTTGCTCCCCATTTGCCTTCCTGAAAGATTGAGGCCAGCTATGCTCTGCCAGCAGTTTGTGGGAGACAGCCCTTGGCCAAGAAGCCCACATGGTCCATGAAACAATACTATTAACAGTAACAGCATTGCATTTATGTGCTATGCACCATTTCAAGCACTTTATATATATTGACTGATTTATTCCTCATAATAACTCAAGTTGATGTTATTTTGCCATTTTACAGATTAGATGATTGAGGCACAGAGAGGTTATATTGTTGCCCAAGGTCAACAGCTTTGAGTGCAGGATTTGAACCCTGGAAATCTTGTTCCTGAATCCTGGATCCTAACTACTTTGCTTTATTCTTGATTTAGGTCTCTATCTTATGCAATCAATTGTGGACAGAGGTAGCTGTAGGTATAAATGCTCAGGAGGGAGAAAGCTTGGAACTCTCAAACACAATGCTGACTGTTGCTTTAAAATGTTCATCATGCTAATAAAGCTAACCCTTATTTTTTAATTTATTCTAATTTGTTATATATGACAGTAGAATGCATTATAATTCAGATCACACATATAGAACACGATTTTTCATATTTCTGGTTGGACACAATGTAGAGTCACACCATTCCTGTCTTCATACATGTATTTAGGGTAATGATGTCCATCTCATTCCACCATCTTTTCTACCCCCCATGCTCCCCCTTCCCCTTCCTCCTCTTTGTCCTATCTAGTGTTTGTCTAATCCTTCAATGCTCCTCACAAAAACCCCATCATGAATCAATATCCTTATATCAGAGAAAATATTTGGCATTTGTTTTTTGGGATTGGCTAATTTCATTTAGCATTATATTCTACAACTCCATCCATTTACCTGCAAATGCCATGATTTTATTCTCTTTTAATACTGAGTAGTATTCCATTGGGTATATATACCACATTTTCTTTATCCATTCATCTACTGAAGGGCATCTAGGTTGCTTCCACAGTTTAGCTATTGTGAATTATGCTGCTATAAACATTAATGTGGCTGTGTCCCTATAGTATGCTGTTTTTAAGTCCTTTGGATATAGACTGAGAAGTGGGATAGCTGGGTCAAATGGTGGTTCCATTCCAAGTTTTCCAAGGAATCTCCATACTGCTTCCCATATTGGCTTCACCAATTTGTAGTTCTACCAGCAGTGTATGAGAGTGCCTTTCCCCCCACATCCTCGCCAACACTTATTGTTGTTTGTATTCTTGATAGCTGCCATTCTGACTGGAGTGAGATGGAATCTTAGAGTGGTTTTGATTTGCATTTCTCTAATTGCTAGAGATGTTGAACATTTTTCATATGTTTGTTGATTGATTATATATTCTTTTCTGAGAAGTGTCTGTTCAGTTCCTTGGCCCATTTATTGATTGGGTTATTTGTTTTTTTTTTTTTGCGTGTGTGTTAAGGTTTTTGAGTGCTTTATATATCCTAGAGATTAGTGCTCTATCTGATGTACATGTGGTAAAGATTTGCTCCCATTCTATAGGCTCTCTATTCACCTCACTGATTGTTTCTTTTGTTCAGATGAAGCTTTTTAGTTTGAATCCATCCCATTTATTGATTCTTGGTTTTAATTCTTTTGCTATAGAAGTCTTATTAAGAAAGAAGTTAAAGGGATACATAGGAAAAGAAGAATTCAAATTATCACTACTTGCAGACAATATGATTCTGTAACTACTAGACCCAACACATTCCACCAGAAATCGTCTAGAACTAATAAATGAATTCATCAAAGTAGCTGGATATAAAATCAACACCCATAAATCAAAGGCATTTCTGTATGTCAGTGACAAATCTGCTGAAAGAGAAACTAGGAAAATCACCCTATTTACAATAGCTTCAAAAAAATAAAATACAAGGGAATAAACTTAACAAAAAAGGGGAAAGACCTCTACAATGAAAGTTTTATTGCAGAATGGTCAGAGAATGTGACTGTCTTGGGTTTTATTCTGAGGCTTTATTGAGATTTGCTTTGTGGTTTTTGATTTTTTTCTAAGTGCTTCAAGGGTGCTGGAAAAGAAGGTATATTTTCTGTTTTGGGTTTACATGTTTGTTTGCTTGTTACCATTAACGGTATTATCCATACTCTCTGTCTCCTATTCTTTTTTAAGTTTACTTGGATTTTCAAGACTGAGAGACATAAATCCTTTCCCATAACTCTTGTGTTCCTGTCTTTTCTTTGTACAAAAACATACTAGTTGGTTGTCTGTCTTTGCCTGACTTATAAATGCAAATGTTAAAGTATCTGGGCTGGGAAAGAAAGGAACTGAGCAGCTAAACTGAATTCCATTTTAACCATTTTTACCTGCGTGTACCTATTTGTACGTCTTTGTGTGTTTCTTTGAGGGTGTACATGTGATTTGGCATATCCATCTCCCTTGGATGTGACTGTGTCAATATTTTCTCCTGTGTGCTGGTCATTGTGAGTTTGACATATGTGTCCATATATGTGTGTTTTTCTGTAGCATCTTTTTATTTAACTTAAACCTTAAACATCAGGGCTAGAGACTGCCTTGCTATTAGTTTGGCTTTTTGTGGAGTGGTTAAAAGTCAGGAGCTCTGCCCCTTTGTGTGTTAACCCATCTGAATCTTGGTTTATCTCTCCCGGCAGCAGAAGATTTTCCTGGTAAGTGGGTCCAGTACCAACAGCTTCTCTCTGGCTCTCATTCTTTGCTCTGTCTGGGGACCAAGAATGTTAGGACCCTAAATCCCTGCTGTCATCCTCTCCCCAGAATGCCTGTTCATATGGCCCTGGCCTGGCTTCTCTTGTGCTCATCCCTTCATAAGCAGGAACTTAAAGGACTTGGTGTTGGCCCAAAAGGGCCCCTAATATTCTCAGAAGTTTGATGGTAGCGATTCAGGTTATTTTATGACCTAGTGCAGGCTCCTCTGGGATTTCCTCTTTGGATACCTTGCACATGGCCTTTCTCATTGTACTGGATGAGCTGCCGGGGTGTGGACAGGCATAAACTGAGTGCCCAGCCCCACGTGGGTTTCTGAGGCCTGCCTCCTTGTGACCATCCCTCCTTCAGGGAACTTGCTGACTTCCTGGGAGACAGGGCACATTCCTTAGACAGGACATGGCCGGAGGACTGTTCCCCGCTCAAGAGCTGGAGGAGATAAAGGGTGGGAAGGTCAGTGTTTGCCACACAGACAACAGGCCCCCCTCTTCCTGCAAATGTGAGTGACTAGAGGAAGGAGAGGGCTGAGAGAGAGAGGTGACGGCCTCCTCTATCCTCACCCAATCCCCCTGTTTAGCAGCATCTTTTGAATAAAGGTCACTTAGTATGTATTGATTTTTAGGGAGTGTGCCTTGATTTGACCTCTAGGAAATCTAAGTTTGGGTTTCCAATGTGGGGAGGGGAAGGGCAGGAGATGTCTAGTGCATTTTGTTCATCAATAATACATTACTGACATTTCCCCCCAGAGCACCCTCGGTACCCTCTGATTTTAGCATTGGCATGTCCTTGGGCTATAGAGGGCGCCATGATAATTACACCCACCTTACAGAAAGGCCCGAGAACCTGACAGAAACCCACACGGTGGGGTCAGCCTCTCAACACCAGGCAGAGGTAGACACCTTCTCCTCCAGTCTGTGCCCTGGAGAGGAAGGGTTTCAGCTCCCTGCTCCCCTGAGCTCTCCTGTCAGGTGAGCCTTGGCATCTGGGCCAAGCCAGCGGCCTTGGTGGGGATCCATTAAGAAGGACCTTGCTTGGCAAGTTGTTACATGGTCTCTTCCTTTCTCCCTCCCAGGAAGAGGAGTTCATCGACTGGTGGAGCAAATTCTTTGCCTCAATAGGGGAGAACGAAAAGTGTGGCTCCTATTTGGAGAAGGATTTTGACACTCTAAAGGTGAGGTCTCGCTCCCAAGATGGGGTTCTCTTCAGGCCTGTTGTCACTGGGCACCTGGGATGGGCAGCGGGAGATACAGCAGAAAGATAATGTGTGTGTGTGTGTGTGGGGGGGGGGGGTTGGGACTCCTGATGAACTAATCGGAATGAGAAAGGTCACCCACCTATTTGGACCAAGAAGTCAATGTGGGCTGGGATAACTAAGAAAGTATTTTGGTACCTGTGATACTTGAAGTATTTGTAGGTAAAATGATGCTGGAGTTTTGCCTTAAAAATGCCCCTTCAGACCCCAAAAATATGTAGGAGGAAGATACATGGTATGGGTGGTCCTCTGACAGATTTTCAAAAGACTAAAAATGAGTAAGCCTATAAAGCATTAATTGTTAACATTGGAGACGGGTACTTAGGGATTTGTAGTACTATCTGATCTCTTCTAGTGTTGTTCGAACTTTCCTATAATAGAAAATTTGTACTAAAATAAAAAGTGGAATCAATCTGAGAAAGTACCTGTGGCCTGTGAATATAAAAAATATGGTGAAACCTTGTCTCTGGATAAAAACCAGGGCTAATCAGCCAAATTCTGGTATTTTGAGGAAGTTCTAAAAATACGATCACTCTTTTAAAAAGTGGATTCCTTTTTAAAAAGATGACCAAAGTGACTCAAAAATCACTGCCCAAAGGAGTTGCAAGTTTCCTGTACAGGTTTACCAGATAAAATCCAGGATGTCAGGTTAAATTTCAGATAATGATGGATGATTTTTAAGAACAAGTATGCTTTAAATATTGTGTGGGACATACTTATCTAGAAATTATTTTTTATTTATCTAAAATTAAAATATAACTATGTGTCCTATATTTTCACTTACTTCTTTTGAATGTAAATGAGAAAGATTCTGTGCCCCACGATTACCCACAGGCATGGACAGGAGAGAACAAATAGTGGGTGAAGACTGTCACATGCATGGGAAGGGTCCCCAGGACCTTAAAGGGGAAGGGATAAGTGAGGGTCCAGAGTAGTTGGGTGGCCTGATTTTTCAGCTGATTTTTCTGGCTGAGAGTCTTTGGTGGGGACCCTGGAAGGTGGTTTCACAAGGTGGCAAATGTCATGTCTGATGTGTTGGAGGCTGCCTGGTGAATTGTGCCTGGAGACCTGCCAGCTCAGAGATTAGGTGACAGGCAGCAGCAGTGGCTCCCCCAGCAGTAAGCTCTTCCTTGACTTCACTGCTGGGTATGTGAGGTTGGGCAAAGGGACAGGACTATTTGTGTATCAGGAAGAAGGTTCAACACATTAGGTCTGGCATGTGGTACTGTGGCCTTGCCAAAAAATGAGACAAACCAAGCAAGAATGAGGACTGCTGCCAGGGTGGCCCGTGACCCTGGCCCTGGCCCCTCGCTGGTCCCTAGGATGCCGGATGCTGAATTGGCACCCAGCCCTCTTGCTTGACCTCTCTGAGGAGATCTCCAAACAGCATCCAAGTGAAAATAGCCTGTCCAAAGCAAAAGGCATTCCAACTATTTATGGGGGAAAAACTAGGCTTAGAAGGAAGTCCTTTAAGGATAAGTAAATAGAAGAAAGCCAGCATCGCCAGCATGGGTCTTTGAAAAATAGCCTATAGCATAATGGAGAGAACAGAGTATACAACAAGTGGAGAAAAACTCATTTTGGAATTTACTAGCATAGGGCAAAAACCAATGCATAGTCTCAAATAGCAAAATGAAAATAAAAGATATAACAAAGCATTTTAAACAAATTATAGAAAAAAAACAGTAGAAAAAGAGCAATACATATTGGTTTTCCTAATAAGCAAAAATGGATTAAACTCTCCTATTAAGTGAAAAGGACTCTTAGACTATATCAAAAGTTGAAATTCATCACACTGTCTGTTTTTTTTAAATGTTTATATTTTTAGTTGTAGTTGGACACAATACCTTTATTTCACTCATTTATTTTTATGTAGTACTGAGGATCGAACCCAGGGCCCCATGCGTGCTAGGCAAGCTCTCTACCACTGAGCCACAATTCCAGCCCCCATCGCACTGTCTCTTTATAAGACATGTCTAAAATGTACAACTTAGAATGGTTAAAAAGATGCTTTGGCAACCAATATTTTGGCTGCAAATACAATTTCAGGTAAGTATGAACAAAGGGGAAGCAGGTAGAACTAAAGTAAAAAGCAAAGAAAAAAAAGAGTTTTATAGAAATAAAAAAGATACATTTCAACGAGAAGGCTCCCAATGCTTAGAAATATTTGAGCAAAAATGGACAGGGATTTATAAACAATTACTTCAGACAGATAAAACACAGAAATTAAAATTGAAGTGAGAGATTTTAATATATATTACTTTTTGATCAGTCAAAAAATAAATAAGAAAATAAAAAATCTGAATAACGGGTAGATGTTTTAAAATTCTGTCAAGTTAATGTTGCATCTTTACATGAAGTCACAGTTGTAGCTTTAAAATAGAAAATAAAAGTCATAAAAAATAGAGAATACATTTCTTTCTAATGCTCAGAGAATGCTTACAAAGTTTGATTACATATTAGTTTAGTAATATGTTCCCCAAAGCAGATATCATACAAGAGAGCTTAAAATAAAATGAGAAATTAATAACAAAAGTTTTAAAAGAAAGTTAAACCAGTTTGAAATTTTAAAAAGTATTTTATTAGGACTTCCAGTACGAAATGACTGCATAAATCAGCATTTTTCCCCTTTTCTCTTGGAAATCATTCAAACCCACAAAATCCATCTTTTTTTTTACCAGAAAAGTTGGAAACAAATACAAGTTGCAGACTCCAAAATATAAGTAAGGGCTGCCCAAGGACAACTGAGATTGGGTACAGACCACTTAGCAGTAAATGATGAGAAGATGCATTGAGGAGGATGAAAGCGCATAGGGGTAGCAGATCCCAGTGAAACTATCCTTCCAAATGGAAGAATGCTGATAATTATTTAAGATGTGTGATGAGTACATGGGAGTTTGTTATCTATTTGTTTTTACTTCTGTGTGCTTGGAAATTTTTTATAATAAGTAGTTTTAAAATATAGTTCTTGGAATTGAGGTTGCACTGTGAAATATGAAAGTTAATCCCCTGTTTGCAACTCCGGAACTTTGGAGACAGGATCAAAGTGATGACAGAAGCCTCCATAGACTGGTTTGGTTCTGAGAAACAGAGATGGTGAGCTACATGAGGATCACCCAGATGAGCCATAGTTGCAGGAAGCAGTCTGCCTCTGTGGTAGGAATAAAGGAAGTAGCTGGTCCAGGAAAATCCAACTTACTTAGTGACAAATAATAGTAAAATAAATGGTATAGCATTAATTTACAAATTCTAAGGGGTGGGGAAGGAGGGGAAAATAGAAATCAAATTTAGCAATGAAAGAGGATATACACCCACTGAAAAATTTTGCCAAGGAGCAGAAGTGATGGAACATTTTTTTTGTGAGCTTTATAGAAATGGGGCTGTTGGAAAGCAAAGAAAGGGATGATGAAATGAGTGGAGAGGAGTGTGAGCTGGTAGGACTCAGGAAAAAGGAAGACGAAACATGAAATTGGAAGGAGCAGAGGGCAGCATGGACACATGGGGAACACACTCAGGGGTGTAGAGGACAGAAATGACGAAAGCAAGCAAATGATGGAAAAGGAAAAATGTGAAAAAGGAAAAAGAGAAAATGGCAGATATTGAAGTCAAAGAAAAGAGGCCCAACATTTGCATAATTGGCCCCTCCGAAGATGATAACCAAAACAGTGAACCCAAACAAGTAAACATAATAATTTAATCCAGCTTCACTGGAATGAAGGAATGTTGAATATACATTTTGTAAAGGTCCACTGTGTATGAGGAAAAATGGACCCAGCTTGGTCAACTCTGAGACATATACTAGAGTAATTACTGTACTTCAGAGTTAAAGAAAGAATTCTTTGGGTAGTCATAGCTCTTTCTCATTCCATGGGGTGGAGGAGAAATAGATCAAGATGACTTCAGATTCTCTACAACCTTCAAAATCTTAAAGACTGTAAAGCACCATATATAGGACCATCAAAGAAATGCAGGGTGACCTGAGGATTTTACATTCAGTCAAGCTGTCCTCAGGCATAAAGACTACAGACAGCCGGGTGTGTGTGTTCAGGAACTGAGTTAATACAATTCCTAGGAGCCCAGCTTGACAGAACTCTCAGGGAAGAGCCTTAGCCAGCTAGGCGACCAGAGCAGAAGGACTGTGCGTGATCCCATTTTATCTTAGAATCCAAAGGAAAACGAACGGAAGGCTTAGGCTCAGAAGACAATGTAGACACCACATGATATGGTAAATGCAGAATAGACTGAAAATGTAGAAATGATAAAACTGACAAAAAGTCAGTGGAGAAGGAAGAAAGAAGGTGAGACGTAGAGTAAAGACATTAATTGCTCTATTACAAAATGAATGGAGTGGAGATTTTAAAAAATTTGCAGATCACATCATAGGAGTATAAGCAAATTATGACCAAATAGTACAAGGTAATCATTAAGAAGAAAATGTTGCCTAAAACTAGGCGATAGAGAGGGAGAAGGAGGAATATAAAGTTTAACCCACAAATACTGTCTCCAAAGACATAGAGGACTAATTATTATTAGTATGTATACATTTATAATACCAGAATGGAAACTCAGGTCATCCTAGATACCAGAACACACGAACACACACACACACACACACACACACACACACACACACACACGCATTGGGCAGCTAGAGATTTCTAAAAAACCTATGAAACTAGAAAATTCCATGGCTAGCTCAATATAAAACAAAGGTATAACTAAGGCTAAAAGTATATCTGTCGTATCACTACCTGTAACATCAACTGCTTATTATGAAATTTAAATTTGATCTCAAAACAAAATCTCTGTTAAATCAGACCTCAAAACAAAAATCTAACTCTAAGACAAAGAGATTTATAAAGAGTGAAAAATAAAAAATTGGTAATATGTGTACCAGGCATATGTAAATGAAAAGATAG